GACGGGTTGTGCTCTCGGCGGCTGACAGCTCCGGGCACGGCGGCGGGGGAGCGGGCGGCGCGGTCCCGGCTCGCAGGCGGCCAGTAGAAAAGCCCAGCCCTCGGCCTGACGGCACATGGCAGCAGGGCGCGCCGGCCCCGCGCAGGTTCACTAGGTCCGGGCTCCGGCCGGCGCGGAGGCACTCTCGGCGTGCTGGGCTGCCGCAGGACTTAAAATGCCGCTGGCTGCTTGCTTCTTCTTGGGCTGCAGCGTTCTCTTAGCTTCGGGATACAACTCCTTCAGTAAGAGCATGGAGACGATAGGCAAGAAGCAGTACCAGGTCCAGCACGGGTCGTGCAGCTACACCTTCCTTCTGCCCGAGACGGACAACTGCCGATCCTCCACCTCTTACGTCTCCAACGCCGTGCAGAGGGATGCACCTTTAGATTACGACGATTCAGTTCAAAGACTGCAACTACTTGAAAACATCATGGAAAACAACACTCAGTGGCTAATGAAGGTAGGATAATATCATTCCTACTCCAAAAATCCTGCTTGCAACATCCTGTTATCTATCTCATCGTGGGGTTTTTCCCCTCTCTTTCTACGTTCACGAAATGCATTATCTGAACTAAATTTCTGAATCACCTTTTAAGCAAAAAGTTGTTTTGAAGTCTGAGAACATAATTTTCCTGACTAGAAGGGAACAGAGAACTGCACTGTTCTGCAGAGCCTGTGCTTCAGAGTTTGTCATTACGTTTGAGTTGCTTGGACAAATAGTAATCACATACACAGGCAGACTGTGAACATGTCTGCAATTTCTGACATGAAAGAACCAGCTACTAATTTATAATCAACTGGCAAGGGCTATTTAACCTCTGTTTTAAAAATACAAAATGTACCTTTATCTGAGGCATGTTTGAAAAAAGTTTTTTCAAAACTTGCATGCAGAAATTAACATATTAAGCCCCACTGATAAAGAACTGTACTTCTAAGCAAAGACTGCAACTCTGACTTGCAGTGAAATTAGCCCAGTGAAGTGATAGAATTTCAAGAAAGTTCATTAGCGGATATCCTTCGCATCCTGTAACATTTCCACTCAAATATACACTATTCGAGGAAAAAATATTCTGGAAAAGGTGTTGCAGATGCCACATAGCTTCCTGCAATGCAACTCCATTGCAACTGGGGGAAAATGACATGTTTATTGCCAAAGTGGCAACATTTGTGAAATTACACTTGAAACGTCAGAAAAAAATGTATACTGCATATATTCTTAAGATTACTGGAGAATAAACCTGATCAATATTCCACATTTTTATAGAAACTCATTTAATTCTAAATGCTATACAGTTCAATAGATTTTTATTTAATAAACCTTTATTTCACCGGTACCTGAAAAAGTGTGGTAGTATAGTTTAATTGCATAGTAAATTTATGTGTTTATGTTTTATACTAAGATGTCCATCTTCTAAGCAATAAATATTTTGAGGACTTAACTGAGTAGTTGACACAGTATCTCCAAATAAGTGTTCCAGTCATGTCATAAGGGTTTTTTCATAAAGAAATAAATACTTGTTGCAAATGGAGAGAATTCACAATTCTCTACAATGAGTAGCCACTTCTTACAGGACTATAAAATAATTTTGCATTAGGGTTCACTTATCAGTTACAAAGTTACAGAACTCGCGTAATATGACCAAAGAAACCATTCGTGTCTCTTAAGAAACAGAAGTCACACTTCAGAGCAGAAAGCACAGTGTTTTCATCTACCTGAAAATGAACCTTGAAGCTTAAATCCAAAATGCATACACTTGAAGGCTGAAGTGCGGGCCTCTAAATCTGTCTTCATGGGTTTAGGATGCTTTATTTAGACACCCAAATAATGTCAGTTCAGTAGCTTTTGTTTTTTTAATCTCACAGGCAAACATACTTCCCTCCAAATACTTAACTTACCTTTCTACTTATTTACAATGCTCACCATTGTAATGTTAAGACCAACATTAACAGATGTGCAATGCAGGATGAAAAACACACAAAGTAAACCAGTCTAATCTACCCAGCTGCTAAGCAATTTCCTAACATAAATAGTAAAATCACACACAAGGCTCCAGTGCTAAATGCCACTTAAGTAGGCAGAACACAGTATTATAAGTGGCATCAGGTAAACAGAAACCAGTAAGCAAATTCCAGCATCCTTATTTAGGAAAACTATGCTTTTTCCTGTCAGTCCCTGGGAAATCAGTTACAAGAGGAATAGGATAAGTATATCTAACCCATTCTTTGGGGGATCAAAAGGCAGATTCTGTTTTACAAGACAGAGCAGTGTTTCTTTTATTTGAGAAAAGATTTCCAAATAAGATGCTTCAGAATAGCCTGATTTTTTTCTAGCTGTTCCACAGCTAAACATCCTGTAAAATAACTGCTGTTTTGTCTTTTTCACTATTTTAACACCTGTTCTTTATGTCATCTGTTTTGTTCACAAAGACTCCAACAAAAGTAGCTTTTCCTCAGATTTGCTTTGCTAGAGACACCTGGTCTGCAAGTGAAGATGAAAAGCAAACAATAACCTAAAATGTTGCTTACAGAGTTTATTTGCTTTTTAATTAAGGTCACTAATACATATTCCTAGGTTCATATTTCAGTTTATCAAAATCTAATGCTACATTAGTCAAGGCAGGGTGAAAAAAAAAAGTTCGCTTAGTTTTTATACTGTACTGAAAGTAAGACTGATTTAAAAGTAACATGATGTTAACTTCTCATCAATTGCACAAAACACTGCTTTAGGTCTTACTTTTTAAAAAACATTATTTCTGCTCACTTAAGAGGCAGCAGCTGTTTTGTTCTGAAGTTGTGTAAAAAAAAATACATTACAAATTTTTAGTGTGAATTAACCTTTAAACATTGTTCCTGAAGTATTGCACATCCCAAAACATTTTTTACACTCCTCCCCTGCTCCTGCCTTTAATCCATCAACTAAAGGAAACATTCTGTTTCTGAATGAAGACTAGGCTGTATGAATGGACCAGCATGGGAAGTGTGCACTATAGCTGGTTAATGGACAAACACAATGGGAAGAAAATGAGTTACGTAGGTCCAGATTCTTTTCTGATCTGCTCCTGCATGGAGAGCAGAAGACTTTGTTCTACAATTGCCACAAATTGCTGCTTTAAGATAACACTTTTTTTTTTTTTTTGGTCTGAACTGTATTAATGCCTTTATGTCTCTACTTTGTGTACCATACATAAAACTGGAGAATGTCTTCTCAAAAGTTGGTGATTAACTGTTCAGATGACACACAAGAACAAACCACTGTTCCACCTAATCCAGTGTTTAGCAGTAAGCCAGTAAGTGATGCTGTAGAGCAAAGGCCAAAACCCTATATCAACTGTGCAGCAACATACCTGAAATTAACTTTCTTCTTCAACTTTTCCTACCTTGGGACCAATCTGTATATTGAAGTGTAAGATTTTTTTCTAATGCGTGTGCAGGCAGGGAGAACAAACCTCTCAATAATAAGTTTTTCAATTAATTTGAGAGGATAGCAGATTGACATACAGTTGAGATACAAGATTGGAAATTTTAAATGTAGACATGTATGTTGGCTATTATACTTTGGAATTGTTTTATATAAAAACGTCAGGTTTTCAGATATCCCTATAAGGCAGGCAATTCTCTTAAGGTCTACAATTAAATGAATCTCTATCCGAATTAATGGCAGCTTTACTATTTGGATGACAGCATTTCTACTCAAGGAACTGCATTTTTTCAGGTATTAAGACACTGAAATAACTGAATGCTGACTTCAATATACTTCTTAGTACGTAAACTAGATCCTATGACTCAGGAGATATGACTGTCCAAAGCAACAGTGTAAAAGAAATAGGTCATATCTTCTGAGTCTTTCCTGTTATAAAACAAACTGCTGAAAACAATGTATGACCAAATTAATCATAGCATACGGAATATAGGTAATTTATTTGCAGTTTATCATCACAGCAAAAGACTAGAGCATAAAAGTCTGTGCCAGAAGTCAACATTTAATCTAAGACTAGAACTTCACCCTGAACCATCCCAGCAGACTAGGAGGAGGATATTTTGCTGATAGAGAAACAGTATCTTTGGATACTCTGAACTGAGGTTCATTTTTCCTTGCCATGATATCCTGGAAGCTAAAAACCCTTTGTCACTTTGAAACATGTTTCTTCCCTAAGCACAACAAAATCAGATGTTTTAAGATGTACAGGAATGAATGCTTACCATTTTCACTGGTAATTACCAGTGAAAGGTTATAATTAAAGGTCATACTTGTATTGAACTTCATATCTCAAATACAAAAAGATATTCTGACATGCCATCTTCCGAAAACATCTGCACACAATGGGCAAGGACAAATATATTGTATGGTGTTGGATTTTGAAGTACGCAACAGATGATTCTGTCTCTGAATCAAGAGCTGCATTCCTTTCTTAAGTAATGCATCTGTTTTCACTTATTGTGAAAAGTGCTTGTTTCTGTCCATCAACTATGTATTTGCTAAGCAAGAGTGCTGGCAGGACCCAAAACAAAATACTTTTTTACTTTCAGATTAGTACATGTTACCAGATAAAGTTTTCATGCTACTTTAAATGATAAGACTGTGCAGTTTATTGTTATATCGCTTGTAGGTAAGTTTCTGTGAAAGGATTTTAAATGACACTTTTGCATGCGTTTAAAGACTATGTTGTAAAGACTATTTCAGCATCATTCCACAAATACCAAATTGGCGATACAGGTATGAAATTGGACAAAATCAACAAAAAAGACTACCAATTTTCTTGTACAGATCTACAAGACAAAATTGAAGTTGAGAGCTTGCCATCTCCAAGATGTTATCTGTAAAAAATGTGATAAACAGAGGCTTGTTTTACTGAACCAGTCTCTTACTAGCATTCAAGATACATTTTCTTGTGCTTTGTTTATTATTAATATGATCATAAACTTATCTTTGATCCAAACAGCAAATTGGAAGACTTTCTTCATTAGATTATTGACATCAAGTTCTTTATTTTTCTTCTTTATATTCTTTCTTCATGTGCACATATAGGAGATGAGCCTGGAGATGCTTAAATTGACACTTTCCAGTCCTTTTTGTTTGTATACCTACTTAACATATAAAACTTAACAGTATAACCTTTAGAATATCTTAGAAACTTTTGCAGAGAGACTGAGGTTCAGAATGGTGCTTCTTTTACAATTATCTTGCTACTGCTCCTTTTTTGTTGTTAATTATGAACAAATTCAATAACATACATCTCCCCATAATTTACCAAGGGAAATAATTGATGTAATTTGCTTGATTCCTAATCACAAGAAACAAGCTATCATACATGTATTGCTTAGAACAGAATTTTGCCTGGAAGACACAGATACCCATTTCTAACCTTCAAAATTAGACGTCTGGTATCTTCAGTGACTGTATTATACTGTCCTTTTCATACTAGAGTATTTATGTTTTTGAAAATATACCATATTATGCAT